TCAATGCTTATGACTCTTTTTAAAATCTGTAAAATCAGGGTGTTATGCCAGGTCAGCCTTGCCACCTTCAATAGTGTTATGCTCTCCCCATAGCACGCCATCCCCATTTTCTAGTCTTTGCAAAAACTTACCACTGGGCTGCGGTACTCGTGGAAAGACACACGCAAGCCTATTGTTTTCCCAGCTAGCATGGGGTCGGTCCCACTGTAAGACTCCACTGGTGGTCTCAGGAGGTAAACAAGGTTTTCCCAGTGAACAAAAAGATCTTTGTTATTTGAAGAGGAGCACAGCTGAAGGTAAAAAGAGCGGCCCGTGACGAGCTTCAGGTGGATCTGCTGTTTCAGGGTGTTATGAACGCTTATCTTCACAAGCTTCAGGGGAAACATCCTGGTTAGCTCCAAGGCCTCTGTGGGATTACAGCGTTTGTCCCGGGTAGCAGGGCCACAACTGGCACTAGGGACAGTGCTTGGCTGGGCCAGCAGCATGACATCAGGCAGGGTGAGGCTGGGGCTGGTGCGAACAACAGCCACTGTCACCATCTGGGGGCGCTTGTTCACATCAATCATTTCTCCTCTTCTGTTGACCTGCATGAAGTCGCTCTCAAACATGGGTGCATATTTGAACATGTTATACTCCCCTTTGTACAGCTGGCGCTGCAGCTTCCCCATGGGCATGTTAAACATGCCCGTGGCGGGGCTGTTTTTGGCTGTGTAGTACTGCCCGGTCATGTTTACCTTTTATCCAGATAGGTGCGCGCCTTCCTTAAGAAGCCTTGCAGTGGCCCCTGTTTCCCTGGCTTCTACCACAGAAGGGCAGGCAGTCAGGTGTGGAAGGCTTTCCTGTCCTTGAGTGGGTGAGGCGTTGATTATCAACCTTCCTGGGTGAGGCGTTGATTCCTCAGGGCCAGATTCAGGGCCAGAAATGGTTTCCAGACGTGTCCTGTCTAGCACAGATGAACTGGGCACCCGCAGATGCTGGGGCGCCCACGTTTCAATGGTCACTTCTGAGGGGCCTTCGCCTGAGCCCAGCACTGGCTCACACCGGCCTCTGCTCTCGGATTCTGTAAGTTGATTCAGAAAGCTGGATTCTATAATCTTTACTGTCAGAATTGCAGT